TACTAAAAATACAAAAAATCAGCTGGGCATGTGGTGCATGCCTATAATCCCAGATACTCAGGAGGCTGAGGCAGGGGCATCACTTGAACCTGGGAGGTGGAGGTTGCAGTGAGCTGAGATCACACAATTGCACTCCAAACAGGGCAAGAGAGTGAGACTATGTCTCAAAAAAAGAAAGAAAGCTAATGCAATGATGCAATAGTTAATAACTGCTAAGCCACTACATACGGGAAGCCAGTGCCCAAGCAGATGAGCCCTACAATGGGGATGTTTTACTCCTGGGGCTTCTATCAACTCTGGAATGGACAGCTGATGGTTAAGCAGCTCTTTTTCCAACATCACAGGGCTAGAGTGACAAGGATTGAGGTCTAAGGCTCTGCAAGAGCAAAAGGCCCTCACACAGCCTCTGGCTCTCCGCTAGGATTCCACAGGGCAGCCCTGAGGGGTTTGCAACTCAGCTTGGAATCATGACAATCTCAGATATCAAGTATCTCCAGACAACTGGCAGAAGACAAGGAAACTCCCTTTTGGAGTTTGAGAGATCTTCCTCATCCTCAAATTATTTTTTCAAATATGTATCCAGGGCTCCACCCAAAATAATCAAGCATAAGAAGATGGGACAACCGCAAAGACAGATGACAAATAAAAAGATGGCAAAAGATCTGCCGTGCAAACACTAACCCAGAGGAAACTGGAGTCTCTCTACTAAGATAAAAGCAGACTTCAAGGCGAAAAGCAGAGCTAGAGCTAGAAGAGAGGGATATTTCAAATAACAAAAAGATTTGGAAAAACATAGCAGCTCTAAAGTTTTATGTAGCTATTAACATAGGATCAAAATCTGTGGAGCAAAATGTCACAGGTGGAAACGGAGAAATGGACAAATCTTCATCATATAGAGATTTGAACATACCTCTCTCACTAACTGACAGTGTAAACAGACAAAAATCTCAGGAAAAACATAGACAAACATTATGATCAGCAAATTTCAACTTATGGATACATTTTGATGCATTCAAAATAACTGTAGAATATATACTTTTTTAAAGCACACCTAGAATATCCACAAATATACTTTTAAAAGCATATGTAGAATATTTAATTACTAAGACTTCATGTAAAAAAAATTGGGTTTCCAGCTTCTTTTGATCAATTTTCATCTTCTCTGGAAACTCTAAGCTCAGCAGGGACTCGCTCCCCTCCCTCCTGTCCCTGCAAGCTTACTCCATCCACTCTGCAGATACTTCAATATTAAACACGGAGCTAAAGGCAGCTAGACTTCTCCAATCTCCCGTGCACTCAGAATGGAAGCAAGCTTTGTAAACCCAATTCAAGATTCAACCGAAATCTTTATTTCTACTACAATCTTCATCCTTCTCTTTCGCTTCCTCTTTTCTCCAACAACAAAAATAAATACCAGAATTTACTGGCCACAAAGTGTTGGCATGAGGGGCCAAGTTAGTTACTTTATCTTCTCTTAACAGTCAAAACTTCAGTCGGGGCTGGGCACCATAATTAATCCCAGCAATTTGGGAAACCAAAGTGGGAGGATCACTTAAAGCCAGAAGTTTGAGACCAGCATCTCAAACTTCTCAAACAAGACCCACATCTCGAAAAATAAAATAATAAACAATAAATTAGCTGAGCTTGGTGATGCATGCCTGTAGTCCCAGCTACTCTGGAGGCTGTGGCAGGAAGATCATTTGAACCCAGGTGTTAGAGGCTAGAGTAAGCTATGATTGTGCTACTGCCATCCAGCCTGAGCAAGAGAACAAGACTCTGTCTCTGAAAAAACAGCAACTTCAGTGTGTTTCACTAAAAAGGCTCTTTCCCAAGGCTCCTGTGATAAATACATAAAATACTTAAACACCTGTAGCTACGTGAGTGTGAATAATGCAGTTGAGAGATGGTATGCGTGGCCTTGCACTGTGCCAGTTTAGCTGAACCTACTGACGTTTCCCAGAATGCCCCGCCATGTTTGGTTCTGGGTTATGGCTGGCCACAGAAGAAACAGAAAGAGACTTGCAAGGCAGAAGGACGCAGCCACCGTATGGGTCTGGAGTTCAGAGGCCTGCTTCTGCTTAAAAACAGCCCACTGATCTTCTGGTCAACCTCGCAGGTGCTCTCAGCACATTTAAGTCCTGCCTGGATCTTCTCCTTCAGCTTCTCCACATCCTGGGGCAGGCACATGTGCAGATCCATGGCCAAGGGTGCCAGCTTCTTCCACAACTTACCTGCACCATCAGGATGGTGACACCTGTGCAGCTTCCAGTTCATCCCCCCAGAATCCACTTGGCTTTTGTGGTTTCTGCTTTGTCTTTGCAGGTTCCAGCCTACCCTTGCTCTTCCCTGCTTCGCATCCCCATTTTCTCCCTGACTGCCAGCCCTGCTAACCTATAGCGGCCTCAGCCCCTCCCCGAGACACACAGCAGCAATAGCCTTCCAGTGTCTTCTTCACAGCTCCACCAGCAAACGCAGTTCAGTCCCCATCATGAGCCCATTGTTTCCCAGGACTCTGTGCAGCTCCGACTCCCTGACACACAAGAGCTTCCGTTATGGTCCGCTCAATTCTATGTAGGGGCAAAAATCCCTGATCACCTTAGGTCCAGGAGAAGGTAGTTAGGGTTCAGTTGGGGTGCCGTCAACATCCCACACTCAGCTGGGCACCAGCAGGCAGACTCGTTCACCACTCAGTGCACAGTGTCACTCCCCTGCTCCACGCCAGATCCAGGGCTAGCTGCTGGGAATAGAAATAGGCCCTAACCTTGAGGATTGCAGAATTCCAGCTGTCCTTCTGAGTAGGAATGACAACAGACCCCACACAAATGCTGAGCTCAAAGGAAAGGAGACCTTTCAACTGGGGATGAGTGAAGAGATGAGCTAACGACTACTTCCCATTAGAGGTGGCCTGATGGCAGGGGAGGAGAAGGTGCTACATCTTCCCTTCTTGCTGCCAAGAGCATGGCTTCCTGCCTGTGCTTGCCAAAGGTGGTTCTGTGAATGGAGCAGGGGTGTGGGAGGGTGACCAGACCAGCCTTTGCTACATTGCATTTCACATAACATGCCTTTCCCTAAGATGCTCTGGAAAGCGCCTAAACCCTCAGTGCAACAAAATCAAGTGAAATTTTCCAAACAGCATCTGGTAGCCCAACTCCCTCAACACCCTCCAAACAAGGAATGCGTGTATTTGGTCAGTGGGGCTTCTTCTCAGAAAATGGCTTTGGGGCCCAGCAAGGTGGCTCATGCCTGTAATCCCAACATGTTAGGAGGTCAAGGTGGAAGGATCACTTGAAGCCACAAATCCAAAACCACCCTGGGCAGCAAAGTGAGACCTGTCTCTAAAAAGAAAAACAAAAAGAAAAAAAAAAAGTAGCCAGGCGTGGTGGTAGGCGCCTGTAGTCCCAGCTACTCAGTGGCTGAGGCAGAAGGATCGCTTGAGCCTAGGAGTTGGAGGCTGGAGTGAGCTATGATCACGCCACTGCACTCCAGCCTGGGCAACAGCGAGACCCCATCTTTAAAAAATACATATTTGTTTTGGGCCAGTTAATTGTATGTGCCCAGGGGCCATTAGATATGGTCATGTTATGTGGGAAGATAAGAGTTTTCTGTCCCTGTCACCATCTTGTCCACTATCTTGTTCCTTCCCTTCCTCCTCTAGTTGAGAGAGTTCTTTTAGTTCTTTAGCACATAAAAATTGTTTTATCACCAACAGTCCAGTTTATCAAGAGGAAGATCTCTTTTGTCTGTGCCTATCTTCAGAATCTGCGGAGCCTGCTGCTGGGGGGACGGCAGGGTTTGCTCCCAATTTTCCAGTGACCAGGGCCCTGCTGGGGAAAAGGCTGGGACTCTGCAGGGAAAGGCAGAGGGCAGAAAAGGTGAGTGACCAGAGCGGCAGGGCTCAAGGAGCTCTCAGACCAAAAGGCCCCGCCACAGAGAAAGTAACAAATGCTTTGCCCCACCTGTGGGCTTCCTGCAGCGGCACAACCAGCTGTGAGAAATCTCATTCTCTTTCTGGTGTTGGATTATGTTCACAGCCCTTCCAGACAAGGAGGCAGTACTAAAGGTTCACAGTAATTCAACAAAACACCAGCAAGCCTTCCATTTAAGAACAGGTTGGTTTCAGAAACTTACTTGTACACTTGGTTATTGGGAGCTGAAAGTATTTTCCCCCTAAGCCAGGATGGCTATGGGTCCAGCACATCCTATTTTCCTTTCTTCCTGGGCTTGCGGGTCATGCTGTGTCTCCCGGCCTTCCTGGCAGTCAGGTGGGCCCACGTTACTGAGTTCTGAGTGAGGGAATTCAGGCTGAAGCAATGCATGCCATGACCAGGCCTGACCTCCAAAACCTCCCATGCAATCCCCCTCCATCTTTCTTTTCCCATTTCTTAGCTGAGGGAGAGTGAGGGAGAACAGGTGGGAGGAGACACTCAAGGTGATGGGGATCTGGATTGTGAATGACTGTGGGGAGCAGAGCCCAAGCGCCACACCCCCACCAACTTATATTGAATTGACACGGATGTGACTACAAAATCAATTTCATTTTGCTAAGCCACTGAGTTTGTGGTACTGGTTTATTATTTTAACTTTAGTAAATTTTACTGCATAAAGCCAAAGAGACAGAGACATGATGTTAGCATGGGAGGTTCTAGGCTAGCTTAAAGAAATCCATTTTAACCAGTGCAGAGATGAACTATCACACCAAGTATAAATCCTCGCTACAAGTTTTGGTGCAGTACATGTACTTTTTTTTTTTTTTTTTTTGAGAGACAGAGTTTTGCTCTGTTGCCCAGGCTGGAGTGCAAGGGTGTGATCTTGACTCACTGCAACCTCTGCCTCCCAGGTTCAAGCAATTCTCCTGCCTCAGCCTCCCAAGTAGCTGGGATTACAGGCACACACCACCACGCCCAGTTAATCTTTGTATTTTTAGTAGATCCTGGGTTTCACCATGTTGGGCAGGCTGGTCTCCAACTCCTGACCTCAAGTGATCTGCTGACCTCATCCTCTCAAAGTGCTGGGATTACAGGTGTGAGCCACCATGCCCAGCCTCAATGTACAATTTTTGTAAAAGCTACTTATCCGTTATCTGCTCCTTTCTGCCACCCTACCTCACAATGACTCTCTCTTCAAGGTCCCATTTCTCAGACCCAAACTACAGTACTACTTCTTATGCATAAACTTTCTAAGACTGCGAGCACCAAAACCTCCTCGTTCCTCTCTTCCCCAATCAAAAACTGCAGGTACGCCAGACAGGAGGCTGTTAGCCGTGGAGAGAACTCTATTTATTTTTCAGTTTCTTTCCTTTATCCAGATCTGAGCCCAGACATGGTATGATTAGAGAGGACAGGCTAATGACCCTGGAATTTCAGTGCCTTAACAGCACAGGTGTATTTTACAACCCTTCACAGTCCATTATGAGATCATGGTAGGGGTGGGGAGGACTCTCCTCCACAAAGTTACTCAGGGACCCAGGCTTGCTCCAGCAAGTGAGTACACCAACTTGAAGGGCCCTGGAGTCCTTCACTAGATTATTTGACCCAGTCTGCAGGGGAGGGAAGAGAACATGGAGCAGTGTTCAGGAAGTCTTATGGGACTTGGTGGACTTAACCTCTGGACACACCTTATGGGCCAATTAGTCACAAGGCTCCTGCTAAGTGCAAGGGAGGCTGGAAAATGTGTTCTTCCCATGTGTTCAGATGGAAGGTGGAATGGGATTTGGTGAACGCAGAGCATACTCTCTACCACTCACAGTCTTGAAATCTCTTTCTCTTTTACCACATTGGTTTCTAACATCTGTATGATACCAGTGTATGCTTTCACGTAGATCAGGGTAAACTGCAGCTGATGGGCCACATCCAGCAGACTGCCTGTTTTTGCTAATAAAGTTCTATGGGAAGACAGCTATGCCTTGTGATATTATGATATTGTCTGCCTGCTTTCAAACCTGCAACAGCAGCGTCAAGCTGTTGAGACAAAGCCAGTACGGTCCACCAAGGCTAAATCACTTATTATCTAGCCATTTACAGAAAATGTTTGCTGACACCTTCTACAAACAGTCCCCAGCTTATGATGGTTTGACTGAACAATTCTCTGACTTACGATGGTGTGAAAGCAGTAACCATTCAGTAGAAACCATACTTTGAGTATCCATACAACCATTCTGGTTTTCATTTTCAGGTCAGTGTTCAATAAGTTGCATGACATATTCAATTCTTCATTATAAAACAGGTTTTGTGTTAGATGATGTTGCCCAACTGTAGGCTAATGTGTTCTGAGTGCATTTAGCAGGCCAGGCTAAGCTATGCTGTTTGGCAGTTTAGGTAAATTAGATGCATTTTTGACTTTTGATATTTTCCATTTATGATGGGTTTATCAGGGCATGATCCCATCATAAGTCAAGGAGCATCTGTATAGACTGATAATTCTAATTAAATGCATCCAAGTAGCACACTGCTGTAGCCGTAATTCCTAATGCATTCATTCATCAAGCATGCGTGTATGCAGCACCCATAAACTTTTTGCCAGGCTTATTCAAGGTAGAAGTATGCAACTATGAAAAAAAATTGTCTTTATGCTCAAACTTCTAGTCTTTATAAGAATGATGGTAAGAGGTGTGCAGAGCGTGGAGAAGCAACCTTTTAAAAATGTATTTAATTAGTGCAAAAAGCAAGAGAATCCCACCTAAGCAAATTTCCCCACTCTTCAGAAGTTTTAAAGGGCAATTCCCAGAAATAATTTAGATTGTGGACCTGCCCTGACTGGAAGCATGTATAGTCATCCACCGCATAATGATATTTCAGCCAACAACAGACTGCGTATATGATAATGGTATGATAGGATGTAAGATTATAATGCAGCATTTTCACTGTATCTTTTCTATGTTAAAATACAGTTAGATACACAAATACCATTGTGTTACAACTGCCTACAGTGTTCAGTACAGCAACATGCAGTACAGGTTTGTACCTTAGGAGCAAAAGGTAACCCAGGTACCTAGACCCGGTAGCCCAGGTGCGTAGTAGGCTAGACCATATGGGCTTGTGTAAGTGCACTCCATGATGTTCACACAATAATGAAATCGCCTAACTTCACATTTCTCAGAGGGTATCCCTGTTGTTAAGCGATGTGTGACTGTACGTAGTAACATTAAATAAAATGCCACCCAATGGAAAATCTTAGAATTGTTCTGATTCCCATTAACAGAATTAACAGAAGTAACCGAATTTTCCCAGTTTCTTTTTTCTTCTTTATAACTTCCTTAAGCAAGCCATGTTATCATGTGCTAGTTCCCCTGAGGTACAATATCACATTGTTTGTTTTTACAAAGTATACGCCGTGTCAATCAACCAGTGGCCAGATGTTTCCAGAGAGGCGGAAATCTAAGACAAGAGTGGAAGGACAGTCCCTACATCCTCCCTGGGGCGCTGCTGACTTTTAAGAGAAACCAGTGGCCTCCCCAATCTTTGAAAAAGGCCTCATCAAGGCAAATCCAAACAAATTTCCCCCCAATTCACTGTCAAACAGGTTTCATACTCAAACCCCAATGCAAAGGGAAGGGAATGTTAGATTCATTAGTTTAACGCCAGCTAGGCAGGTACACCTGAGGCTGAGCTGAAGAATAAATGTTAGGAAACAAAGTTCTTTGATGGCAACACGCCGGAGCATAATCTCCCTCTTGAGAACCCCTCTTAGGCCCAGGCCTCCTTCAGACCCCTACCACTTCCCTGCTCAGACAAGAACTTTAGAAACAAAGAGAACATGAGGCATTGGCAGTAGTTCATGGTACCAGATAGCCTGGAAGCTGGAGCTGGGCCGAAGGACAATTGGAATTCTGGGATTCCATGGGCTTCTGCATCCTTAGGGCATTTGTCCCAGGGCTGCAGGATTCTGGAGCTTTGGCATTCTGGTTCTCGGCTGGTGGGACTAAATAAATTGCCCTTTTCTGTCTCCACCCTGAATTCTTCATGGTCATGGTCTTGACTCTTGATTTACAAAATGGGATACACCAAAGCAAGAAGAGGGGGCTCTGCCTGTGTCTATACACTTCTGCTCCCTGGGGCTTGTGGTCAGCCTCAGTAAAACATCAAGTGATCAGCCTTACCGATGCACAGGAGGCTCTTAATAAAGGGCAGAGACCGTAATCCTCATCTTCATCCATCTCCCTCCCACCTTCCTAAGTGCCTGGGGGCTTACATCCCACCTCAAAGGAATGAAGAAACCTTGCCGATTCTCATTGTTCATGATTCCATATTTGCAAATTCACCTACTTGCTAAAACCTACTTGTCACCTCCGACTCAAACTGATGGCACGTTCACAGTCATTCTCCAATGTGTACAGAGCAGCAAAAAAATCTACGTCACCTGATGCAAATGTTTCCATCTGAGATCGAATTAGTTCTGGTGCTGTAAAAATTGTTCTTCCTATGGTCTATCTAGTGGCCTGTGTTTGGAATTTTCATGCTTGTTTTGGTGGCGATTTTGCTAAGATAGCACTTGATATGGTTTGGCTGTGCGCTCAGCCTAATCACATCTTGAATTGTAGTTCCCTTAATCCCCGTATGTCATGGGAGGGAACTGATGGGAAGTGATTGAATCATGGGGGTGGGTTTTTCCCGTGCTGTTCGCTTGATAGTGAGTAAGTCTCACAAGATCTGATGGCTTTCCAAAATTGACAAATGGGATCTCATCAAACTAAAGAGCTTCTGCACAGCAAAAGAAACTACCATCAGAGTGAGCAGGCAACCTACAGAATGGGAGAAAATTTTTGCAATCTACTCATCTGACAAAGGGCTAATATCCAGAACCTACAAAGAACTCAAACAAATTTACAAGAAAAAAACAAACAACCCCATCCAAGAGTGGGCAAAGGATATGAACAGACATTTCTCAAAAGAAGACATTCATACAGCCAACAGACACATGAAAAAATGCTCATCATCACTGGCCATCAGAGAAATGCAAATCAAAACCACAATGAGATACCATCTCACACCAGTTAGAATGGCGATCATTGAAAAGTCAGGAAACAACAGGTGCTGGAGAGGATGTGGAGAAATAGGAACACTTTTACACTGTTGGTGGGATTGTAAACTAGTTCAACCATTATGGAAAACAGTATGGCGATTCCTCAAGGATCTAGAACTAGATGTACCATATGACCCAGCCATCCCATTACTGGGTATATACCCAAAGGATTATAAATTATGCTGCTATAAGGACACATGCACACGTATGTTTATTGCAGCACTATTCACAATAGCAAAGACTTGGAATCAACCCAAATGTCCATCAGTGACAGATTGGATTAAGAAAATGTGGCACATATACACCATGGAATACTATGCAGCCATCAAAAAGGATGAGTTTGTGTCCTTTGTAGGGACATGGATGCAGCTGGAAACCATCATTCTTAGCAAACTATCACAGGAACAGAAAACCAAACACCGCATGTTCTCACTCATAGGTGGGAACTGAACAATGAGATCACTTGGACTCGGGAAGGGGAACATCACACACCGGGGCCTATCATGGGGAGGGGGGAGGGGGGAGGGATTGCACTGGGAGTTATACCTGATGTAAATGACGAGTTGATGGGTGCAGCACACCAACATGGCCCAAGTATACATATGTAGCAAACCTGCACGTTGTGCACATGTACCCTACAACTTGAAGTTTAATAATAATAAATAAATTTAAAAATAAAATAAAATAAAATAAAGTGATGTATTATATTTAAAAAAAAAAAAAAAAAAAAGATCTGATGGCTTTATAAAGGGCATTTCCCCTGCACACACAGTCTTTCCTGCTGCCATGTAAGATGTGCCTTTGCTCCTCCTTCACCTTCTGCCATGATTGTGAGGCCTCCCCAGTCATATGGAACCTCTCTCCTCTATAAATTACCCAGTCTTGGGTTTGTCCTTATAGCAGCATGAGAATGGACTAATATGGCACTACAGTATAGTGTGACCCTAAGAATGTGATGGCCCTATGGGGGACATACATGTGTCAGATTGGCTTCCTTCAAGAGGACTCAAGATATAATCTCAGGTCATCCCCTACTAGGGAGCTTTCAATGAATTTATCTGACCGCAGGGCCTCAATTTCCTCATTGGTAAAATGAACAGGGGAGGTGGGGGTGGTCTTTTCATCATTAGTATTCTCTAAAGAATGTATTTTTTAATTATAAAGCTTCATAAATATTTATTGTTGTGGACATTCTTTCAAAGTATAAAGGCAAACGCAGCCACTGTAGTCACTCTTTTTGGAGTGCTCTAAAGCAATCACAACTATACTTAGCTGAGGATGTAAAGGAATGCCACCATTGATAAAGAGGTCTGTTCCTGGGATCCAGGGTGAACACTATTCTAGGATGGCCCTGAAAACCTTGAGGATGACCAATGTGTAGGTCCCTCTCTCTTCTGTGAATCACACATCCTCAAAATAACCAGGAAGACAGCCTCAAAGGCAGTTATTTCCAAAAAATAAT